TACCTTTGACATACCTACTCAAGGCTAAGATACTTCAAGATCTAGACAGAATATAAGTTTCGTTTTGTAAATTACCAATGATAGCACATATCAGATACCCAACATAAAAGCTCAAATTGTTTAAGTGAATAATAGCAAAGTTTTATCAGTTAGTGTTAACAAAGACCTTGCTTGTGATCACAAGCTACATAAAGTCAAACACTGTCATGAGAAGAATCAGACATTTGCTTCTTAATTTTATGTATCAGTTTCTACTTTATAGGAGATCTTGATTTCCAATGCTTGAAGGCTTAAATGTGGATATGCAATATAAACAAAGAAATAAATTAAAATTAAGAAACCCTTACCATCCTAATCTTAATGGACGTTAGGACTGTTGGTCCTAAGAAGAAGTGCAACTGCTTCTAACAACTATTTTTTGTGATAGCAGGCAAAGTATCACTGCAGAACACCAATAATTATATGCAGGAAAAAAGCAGTCTCACGCAACTGGTGATGTGGGGGTGGAGGGAAGCAGGCATCTCTAGTTTGTGGAACACTCCTTCCCAGAAACTAGCAACCATTCAGGACATGCTCTCCCTTTGGAGGGCTGGCCCTTAAATGAGCTTAGGGAGGGGTGGACCCCAGGTCCACGTGTGTAAAAACTGCTTGTACCTGCTCTTCCTGGGTCAGCTACTCTCTTCAGCAAGTGCTCAATCATCAGTTCTGGCTGTGACATAACAATTCCCTTACAAGGAGCGAGGACCTACAATATCAATGTTATTATCAGAAAGCAGGATAGAATTTGGATGTCATGGTGAATAAATTTCTTATCTTCACCTGCAGAGCAATTGCTAAGAAGGGGCTTTTCAAAATTCACAAAATCCTTTTTCTGCATATACTGCAGAGCATCTTAATTTGCTTTTTTTGTCACTTCCACAAAGTAAACAATCTAGGGTACGTTTCTTACAAGGATGGTAGTTAATTGAGCTTCTCTATGAAATGAGCATGCTTAATTTCATAACTGGATGTTATTCTTTATGTCTCATATAGTAACATGCCTTCAACTAACCTATTTTTCTATCAGAATTTCTGAAGTTTGAACCCTGCATATACTCTTCCCAAAATTTTATAACTACATAAATGAATTACCAGGTAATACACTCCTCAGAAATAAGAAACTCACAAAATTAACAAGTAAGATCATCAAAAATTAGTGGAACATCAACGTACTTTTAGAATTATTATCCCTATAAATCCCTACAAAGAATTTGTTTATAAAGTACTGTTTGTGTAGAGCATTACTTAGTAAACTAATTGTCATCACAACTGCTAAACTCTCACTGAAAGACTGGCAGAGAATTATTGGTGAAATAGTTAGTTAAATCATTGTGGCAGCATTATAAAACTTAAATGGTTGGTATCTTATGTTAAAAGGAATTACACTGAACAGTTAAGCTCTCCAATTTTAATTAAAGATGGAATTATCCTAAAATTGAATACCAGTTGTTTGTAAGTGAGTACTTCATGTTAAATTGAAATACTATATCCACTACAAAATGTAATTAGAGAAAATGAACACTTTTTTTTTTGTTAAAAAAAAAAGAGAAAAAATCCTGAATAAATGACAGTAAATAAAAATGATCCAAATATAATTTTTTTTCCCAATTCCTTTACTGTATCCAGAGTATCTCTGTCAGCTATCATTAAATGAATCAGAATGTAAGGGTTATCCTAATATTGCTGAATCCTGTGGGATGTTTTACCACCCTGAAAATTGTAAAGGGTACAAAATCATTTCATGAAATGAACAGTTTCTCAAATGCAAAAATATCTCATTTTATTTTTTGTCAATGAAATATTTTTCAATTCTAGACCAAAATGACCATTCTGATTTATTTTTTTTATTTATTCAGAATAAATCTAATTTGCACTTAAACTGAAAAATCAGAATGTTTTGGGTGGGGTCTTTTCCTTGATTTTATTTTTTTTAATCAGGCATCAGAATGAATTGCGAGAAAGGAATCCTGATGGTAAAGGCACAGTAAAGTAACTGCATGAGAGGATCTCTGCTATGTATTTTTATTCATAAAACGTACCTATTTCAGGGAGAACAGTGGGATTTTACTCAACTACCTCAGAAACGTCTTTGCTATTGTCCTGGGAGATTTTCTGGTTGAATTTGGAGATCTAATTCTCAGGAACCACTATATCAGAAACTGAACAAGGAGTTCAAGGCAATTAACTCAAGGTGTGGATTGTACAGTGGGAAATAGTATGTCTTGCCTACCCTCAGACAAGTAACTTAGGCCCTTTCATTCTTGTTACACTCAGAAAGCTGAAATTTGAGAATGACATGACTTGCAGATGGGCTCTGCTCTGAAACACTAGTGTGATGTTTTCATCTTTGTACAGACATCCCATAAATCCATAACTCTGAACAACTTCTGAGAAAACCTACAATGCAGACAATCAGACTTCACCAACTTTCTAAAAGGAGCTCAGAGGAGACCAGGACAAAAAATCACAACAAAATAAAACCAAGAAAAACAACACCTAATATTCCCCAGGAACCCAGATAGAAAGAAAAGTTACAGTAGACAGCTTGCACAGGAGTACCACCGTGCTTTATAACACTTAACAAAATACAGAGTAAAAAAAGATCTGCAAATGAACTGGGATGAAAGAAAGACTGATGATTTCTGTGGGATGCTGATACGTGAAAGGGTGGTTGATTTTATACAGTCTGATGGGTATAGAAGCCTCACAATGAATTGCAACACAAATCCTGAAACAGAACTAGAGAACTGAGACGTACTAGGGAGTTAGGGTAATAAAAGAAAACTATATAAGGCTGAGAAGAGGGGACACCAGAATGCTTGTTTGTTGAGTGGGAGGCAGTGGTAAGAAAAACATACAGAGAGAACACCAGAATTTGTTCGGAGAGAACAAGCAGCAGAAAGAACCTTCAGAATTCAGAAAATGAGAAAGTTAAGTGTATTAATTCTGCAGCTGCTTATATTTTGGATTACCTTCTCAGATAAAGAGTTGTAACTCTACGTTGCAGAAAGTTCACATTCAGGTTTCCACAGCACGGAGTTAACAAATTCATTAATCTGTTAAAGTGATGCAGCAGAAGCACAAATACTCACATGTAAATCTGTTTCTGATTTTATAAAGTAGAAAAACTGCAATTTGAAATATTATTCTGCTTTTACTATGTTTACTGTAGATTACTGGTAAAACTATTCCAGAATGTTGTATCTGAACGCCAGCTCAGAATGTAGTTTACACAAAAGTGTACATTGTGTACATTCACAGTTATCAACAATGTAATTTGAAACAAATCTAGCAAAGTAAAGCCAGACATTTTGAGTTTGTTTCAGCTGCATAATGGAAAAAAAAAAAACAACAAAAAAAAAAAAACAAACAACAAAAAAAACTTCATTCAGAGCATAAATTTAGTCATGATCTGACTTCTTGAACACTTTGTAAGCCTTAGCTAATTAGTTCTCACTAAACACCTGCTGGGAAAACAAGTGATATTCTTCTAGTTTTACAAATGAGGGATTGGAGGAAGAATGACATTACATTAAATGGCTTGCTCAAACATACAGAGAATTAGTGTGGAGAAGCCTAGTTAAAAATGTAACAGTGGGAAATTCCTATTTCTGAGCTCAGATTGGGCTTTTCTGCACTGCCCAAAACCTTAGCAATGCATCTAGGAGGGGGGATGATGTACAGGAAATCCAGAAAAGGCTGGAAAGATATTTCACTGTAAGTACTAAAGTATATATAAGTTGCTAATAAAACAAAGGCTAACTGAAGCACAAATGTACGGATAAGTTATTATTATTACTTGTTTAGCACTGGAAATGTGCTTGACTGCACACTGTGTAATGCAAATCTATTACAAATACTGATTATACAAAAAAAAAAGAGCTATTTCTGATTATGCATTGCAATCATTTTGACAGTATCTCAGGAATGTCTTATGATTGCTGTACAAGTACAAAGGAAACTGCGACTTTATATTATGGTGAAATTTATTCCACAGCTGCAAGAATAAAATTATTTTTTCAAGCAGCAAACCTTATGTAACCTCTTAATGTAATGTCTACTTGCAGTGCCATTTCTAGCATCTCTCATTTTCATAATGCTCTGGAAGACACTATGTAAACTTACAGTACTTTATTAGTAACGGTAAATCAAGCATGATAGTTACGTTGAATGCTCCAGGGTCAGTCTCTAAGATGACAACAGTCAGCAGTGCTCTCTTATTTCAGTGAAAATGCCACACAATTCACTGTGTCATCTGATGTTAAAAGGTGCTGAAATCAATTTGATTGTAAAAGGCGGAATAGATTATTGTTAGTCATCAAAACCCACCATTAATGTAAGAAAACCGATCTAGAAAATGGGCACATTGGAGTGATATTATCTTTTTGTGTCATGCCTTCAGTCCCTTTGGAAAAGGCATATGGCAGTTCAGACAGACTTAGTAGGTAGAGGTGTGAAGACCACAATGCTCCCTCTGTCACTGCTGCCTCATGCACCCAAGGATACGACCCCGCCTCTTGGTGCAGGGAGGGTTAACATGGGGGTACAGAACCCTCTTCTTCCCCTTTGAGAATGTCTACATTTCAAAATCTTGCAAAAATTGCTGGTTGAAGTGATGCACGTGACAGTAATAGGTACACAGGATTACTGGCACATCAAGCGGACGGAAACCTAACACTGAAATATATTCAGGCATTGAGAAGAAACTTCACTGTTGCTGCTTAAGCTGATCTATGACTGCGATTAATTTGCTTTGTAATTTTGATCAAAAGAAATCTGTCCAATTTTCTGGTCCTACTTCAGTAAGTCAAAACTCACTTTAATATCACACAAATCCATTTAGATTTGGCCTTCGTAGAAGCAGAGAGAGAAAGAGAAGTATGTGGAAGAAATTTCTGAGTTGCCAGTGACAGATTTTTCTTTGGATTTCACACTTTTGCTAAAGACAGGAGAGACCTTACCGTAGCTGTCATAAGCCTCTTCACTTGTTCCGTGACCGTAGTCATAATATTCAGGCACACTGTAACAGATACAGACAGTCACATTACTATTGTCATGGGTAACCAAACCCAAACAGAGTGTAGAAAATGAAAAGTATTTTAATACATGGTAGCCCTGCTACTTTCAGGAATAATAACAACTTTAAAAAATGCAAAGAGAAAGGTATTAGTGACAGTAGTGGCTATAACAGATGACAACACATTTCTTATCTGTTAAGCAGAAAACATAATTGTCTCTAAATATGTAAATCTAGGAGATATGACAAACAGGGTCAGAAATTCTATTTGCAAAAATAAGGTCTGAAAAATGTCTACCCACTTTATTATTTGCAACTGTTATACTGCCAGAAAAGATGTAAATCTCATTTACCTGTTTTTCCAAACATATATGAAGTATCAAATTCAGCATAGTTTGTTTTTTTCCCCAAAACAGACTAAATTGTGTTATACGGAACCTGTAAACTACTTATCTTTACTGAGAGCACTGACAGTTTTTTTCAGTTTTTCTTCTTCTGAAGAAAGTGTGTTTCTATTGGTTGGCAAGAAAAGCCTGATTCTCCACAGCCGTTCCTTATGCAGTCAATCACACCCAAGCAAAGTTTTACACAATACTAATATAAAACACATTGAGAGGTTCAAGGAGTAGAAAATCAGACGCAAAGTAGCTTGACTGTTATTATAATTTCTTCTTTGCATTCGATATTTGGTACCTGCCACCAAATTCATGAACAGAATACATCTGTTTTTGGCTATTGGGCAGACCACAAAAGGAATCAGTCTCTGATCAGAAAACCTGCAATGTTCATGATATGATACTGTATTTTTTGTTTCTGCAGGGAGCCAAACAGAAATATAGTGCACTTACATAAATATCTCAGACACAATATCTCCCTTGCCCCGTTGGCCACCCCTTTTCTGATGGAACCCAGGACACCATTGGCCTTCCATGCTGCAAGTGCACGTTGCTGCTCATGTTAAGTTTTTCATTAACCAGTATCCCTAAGTCTTTCTCACCAGGGCTACTCTGAAGCAGTTCTTCATTCTGTTTATATACATATCTAGGATTACCTCAACCCAAGTCCAAAACCTTGCAAAGGAAGAATACATCTTTTATTTCTTGAACACACCTAGCATTCTGTAGCATTTTTTGCAATCATTCTAGTAGCAAGTTAGATAAAATGTACAGGACAACCAAGTGTGAACCAGCACTAGTGGTGTCAGAGATAAATCTCATCATATCCACAGAACTCATAGTATTAGGTCTAAGAAAATGCTTGAAATTTTCAGAATAGACAGAAGACATACCACCTAGCTCTCGTAGAAAGCAGCATGAAAAATCTCATGTAATACAATTTAAGCAATGGAATTTTGGAATGCTGTAGGCTTTTCTATGTAGAGAAGGGTGTTGGAATAGCAAACAGCATTACTGGAGAAGAAACCCAGAACACTCATCTTCTGTTAGTAGATATTAATATTTCTTCCTGATATATTTTACAAAACAAAGTGACTGCATCCAAAGGTCAGCTCTCAAATGAATGCATTTTGGATCCAGTTCTGCAACAGCAGACCTGTTTTCATTGGTCACTGAGTAGGGCCTACAGTGTTTACCATCACCATAACATCCAGCAAAAAGTTACACGTGCAAGAGTAGGTAAAATTTCTTTGTTACATTATGGTTTTTGTATTTTTTTTTATTTTTATTTTTATTTTTTAATTAAAGAATACTGAATCATACAAACAAGAAGAATGTGAGATAAAATCCCACACAGTGATCATTTGGAACTTAAATATATTAAATACAAACCATTAAAGTAAGAAACAAGCTGTATTGAAACTGTAGAAAGGAAGTAACTGGAGTGATCTATTGTGTACTGCATTTTTGATGTTTATGAACACAATCCTTAACATATTTATGAAAACACATAACTCATAGCACAATGTCTAAGTTCTCCAACTTTATGTCCTTGCATAATACTTTCCATGGAATGAAGCCAAAATGGTGTGTCAAATTCCTTGCTAACTCATACTAAGATAGTTTTGTACAATAAATAAATGAGACAAATCTATTCCTTAGTAAGAAATATCTGATTTCAAGTCACATTTTGTGAGTCAGACTCCTGATTCATTAGTCTGCTTTATTTTAAAGCATTCTGAATATTAACTATAATCTATTACATGCATTTATTTGTAAACATTTTCCCCTGTATTTTTTTATTAAAAATGAACAATGAATGTTTATAAAAAGTAGATGATAGAATGTGCTTCTCCATATGTAAGGTTTTTTTCTTGATTATTAACATACAGATAAACATAATCATTTACATTATGCTCAGTTATGGAAGGAAACAATCAGCAAATGAATTCAGCATAAATAAACTTGTTTATATAATTTTAACATTCTCAGACTGTTCCTGGAAACTGTGATCATCATGAATTCTAGAAACCTCAGGTTCTCTTGGCAGTGCTAATTAGAAACAAGACATCATTATCTATCATTAGCATTCATTACTTTCAAGCAACATGAAGCGTAATTTACTTAAGTACAAGCACCCACCTGAAAGTCGGATGCAATAGATTTTATCAACCATAAACAATCAACTCATAACAACTTCACAGTTTTTATTCCTAAAGTTTTAAAGCATTGCACTGTACTTTAACACTGGAACTCTGAAACATGGACCACTTGATATGTCAAGACAGACTTTAGTAACCTTCTGTATGTACCAATTACTGAAGTGTTGATAAAATGAGACTAAGAAACTCTTTCACTTCCTCAGATAAATGCATGATTTGTTGGTCTCTTACTGTCTATTACCCCCTTCTGTCTCTATATCATTTCTATTAAGCAAACTGCAGTGTTTACAACATTAAATTCTGATAACTGCTACAATTAGATTCTTACTTCCTATGCTAACAGGATCCTATCTAAAACTATTGTGTTTTGTTTTTTTTTTCATATGAGATTGCAATTGCAATGCTTATCCCTCATACACAAGAGAGGCAGTCAGCAGGACTTACTACACAGTTGCTCATGGAAAAAGAATTGTTTACACAAAGCAGTACGCCACTTCTTGGAAGACAGGTGAGAAAGAATTCATATGAACTGCAATATTTGCAACTTTTTAAAAACAGTATTTCATAATATTTTGTAGCAGAAAAGTGTGGATAAAGAAGTCATATTTCTAGGGATCTGGGACTTACTGGAACAGTTCTGTATAATTAAGCATTAAATGTATAGGAAAGATAAGAAATATTTAGAATAAAGGAATTTCTTACAGGATTGGGCCTTAAATCATACGGTACTTTACAAAGTAGATCTTTGGAACTAATGGATTAATTTGGTGAACAATTTAGTGTATAAAATCTCCTGTTTTCTGAAAGCTAAATTTTGATAGTATTTGTATTTTTAACAGAGAAGAATGCATTTATTACAATACTCCCAGGCTTATTCAGTTGCTCACCATATGCCTGAAGTCACCTAAGTCTCATTTACTTCCAGTGTTTTCCTATTTGAGTTCATATTACTGCAGCCCTCCATTAAAAAATAAAGAATTAATCCAGAAGAGTTATAAAGGATAAGGGCATGGAGCCTTCCAGAATGCAAGATGACTGGGTTCCAAACTTTTTGTCAAGTTTGAAACAGAAACTAATCCACCTTTTATTTGCCACAGCCACACAGACACATGAGGATTTCTATTCAAACAGAATCACAGAATAAAGGTTAGAAAGACCACTAAGATCATCTAGTCCAACTATCAATCCATCACCACCATGCCCACCAACCATGTCTCTCAGTGCTGCACCTACATGGTTCTTGAACATCTGTAGGGACAGTCACTACACCACTTTCCTGAGCAGCCTGTTCCTATACTACCCTTCCTAAGAAGAAATATAACATCCAACCTGAACCTCCCTGAGTACAACTTTAAGTCATTACCTCTCATCCTATCACTGTTACTTGGGAGAAGAGGCTGACTCCCACCTGACTATAATCTACTTTCAGAGAGTTGTAGAGACCAATAAGGTCTTCCCTGAGCATCCCTTTTTCCAGACTAAACAATCCCAGTTCCCTCACTTACTCCTCGTAAGTCTTGTGCTCTAGATCCTTCACAGCTTTGTTGTCATTCTTTGGACATGCTTCCAAGTCTTTCTTGTAGTCAGGAAATGCAGCACTGAAGGTGTGGCCTCATCAGTGCTGAGTACAGAGGTATGGTCACCTCCCCGGTCTTGCTGACTGCACTATGTCTGATACAAGCCAGAATGCCGTTGGCTATCTTGGTCATCTGGGCATGCTGCTGGTTCATGATCAGCTGTCAAGTAACACCTCAAGATCCTTTTTCTCTGTGCAGCTTTCTGGCCACACTGCTCCAACCCCTGATGCAGGGAATTGCTGTGACCAAAGTGAAGGACCTGCCACTTGGTTGTGTTAAAACTCACACAATAGGCCTCAGTCAATTAACTCAGCCTATCCAGACCCCTCTATAGGGTCTTCCTACCCTCAGGCAGATTGACACTTCCTTCCAACATGGTGCCATCTGCAAACTTACTGAGGGTGCACTCAACTCTGTGTCCAGATCATCAATAGAGATATAAAAGAGGGCTAACCCTAATACTGATAGGTGAGGAACACCACTCGTGACCAGTCACCAGGTAGATTTAATTCCATTCACCACCACACTCTGGGCCCAGTCCTCCAGGCAGATTTTACCCAGTACAGAGTACACCTATCAAAGCCTTGGGTTGCCAGCTTCTGCAGAATACTGTGGGAAACACAGTCAAAAGCTTTACTAACATCTAGGTAGATTACATCCATGGACTGGATGGACATGGACTGGACTGGATTACATACCAGTTTCCATTCATCCTTTTTACCCTTCTTAAAAATGGATTTGATGTTGCTTTTTTTTTTCCCAGTCACCAGTTACTGCTGAGTACTTCCAAATGTAACATAAAGCATCTGTAGACACACTATTTGCAAAGGGAATTATATGGAATTTTAGGAATCTTATCCAGTTTTAGA